AAATAGCTAGAAATCCCATTCTAAGATGTTATATTGGTGGCTGCTGGCTTTTTTCTTCTGTTGTGTCACACAAGTACTTTACACAGACTAATCTAATGTATGTGCAAATTAACAAGTATTTTATGGTAACCTGTTCAGACAAGTTGATTACATTAAGATGTAAAATTAAGCATTGTAATGAATATTCTTTCAGCAAATTGTAGGGTGTTCTCTCTTTAACCATTTGCTGCTCTTTCTCATTTCTAAATTTTTGAAAGTGCTTGTCAATGTTTGGTCACAATTAACGTCTCTCTTGCTAAGCCCTTTCTCTTTGTTGTGCTTGATACCATTATCTGTGACACACAACTTAGTGAGCTGAAGTCACAGATGCCATCACAGACCCTATGAGTTGCAATATAAATTTCATCTTTAGGGAACTGTCCATTCCATCCTCTCAACTATTCGTTCCCATCTGAACATATACTTGTATGTCACTGAAGATCTTTCTTAAAGTTTCTTCACTTACAATTTTTATTTTTTCCTTATTCTCACTGCTTTAGTCTCAGTTCCTAGCTCTGCCCAAACAGTGTTAAATTTCATCCTAATCATTAATAAGAAAATATCTTCACCCAAAAATCCATTCTTAATGTCTTACAATGAATCCACTTTCACTAAGCTTTCTGGAAGATAAGTTCATATTATCCTCAAGCACTTTTTCTTCCCAGGACTGTAAATTTGCCTTACATAAATCATAACATCAGCTTTCCTCAGACACCGTATCAGCCATTTATTTGCCAGCTCTTTGCGGGGCTTGCTGCGGCCTCTGTTTCAAAACTGTACTACATGTGCTGAAATCCTTCTGTGTTACTGGGAGTGTGGTAAGATTGCTAACATGCATCTGTTTAACCCAAAAATGGAGTTGACCATGAAGAAAATGGAAGATTTCAGCCCAAGTTATCAAGTATTCATGTCCTCCCACTAAAATGTAGTTATGTCCCATGAATATGAAATATTTCACACATTCTTCCTCAAAGTACAAATCACAGGAGGTTTCTAAGATAAAAAGTATACTGGGACTAAATATGCCAGTTCAGGCATCTGAACATAAACCAGATACTCAGAGACTTTGTCTGGTTTTGCAATCATTTTTGGGGTGCTGTAGCTCCATGGTAAACTAAACTCATCCACATGTCAAATTCTTCTCATCTGTGACAGATACCATGAGACTCTTAAATAAATAAAGACCAACTTATGACTTGGTCTAGCATGGGTTGCGAATGTCCTGTAACTTTATTGTCCCTCCTCCCCTTGGTCTCCTTGCGCAAAAGCAAGCAATGTTCCTGAACTGATTGAGCTCAGAATGAGCCTTCTCCGTGAATCGCTCAAAGCCATCGTGACCACAGTTCTTATAGATGCTTTCTCTGCTTGTTGTTTCGTGCAACAAAGCATTTCTGGCAGCAATCCTGTGACCACGCTGACTTCCTCTACTGCAGTTATTCTTTTTTATTTAACTGAGAGGAAACCCTTCATTCTGTCAAATGCCTAGCTCCTGTAATTGAAACCTACACCCTCGGTCCTAATCTCCTCTTTGGCACCTTTGACTCCTTGCTTAAACCCTCTTCTCCTACCACAATTTCTTACTCTGAAAAGGATCTTAACAGTTTCTTCCCAGTGAAAACTCATAGATATGACAGGATCTTCATAACTCTTCATAACTCCTCCTTCTACTCATTCATTGCTCCCTTCCTGAAACAGCCCCCTGGCCCTTCTGTTTCTGGAAGTTCTCCATCTGCTGTCTTCCTCTGTTCTTCCACTTTATCCAGTAGTCCCGTTCTATCCTTTTCTTCTCCTGTTCCCAGTCAGTCAATCTCCTCTTCTTTCCCCTCACAATTCAATCATGCCTTAATCTTTCACTTCAAAATGTCACTTTTTACCCCACGTACCCTCGTAAGAAGCTCTCGTCTCTGAATGCTTGGAACATACTTTACAGTCACTGCCATCTAATTTCCGTTCTTTGCAGTCACCAGAAAATGCTCAAACCGGTCTCTAATAACTTTCTGCAGTCCAGTCAGAGGATCAGGACTCTGACTACCTGAACCTATCAGATCCTTCAGGATGTACTCAACCTTGATAGCTTACTGTAGTCCGCTCTTCTTTTGGCTTCCATAACTCCATCCTTTCCGTTGTGCAGCCTTTGGTGAATCTACCTTATCCCTTCTCCAGTTGCAGGAATTTATAGCAAAGCCGGGTTTTAACTCTTTTCTTTCCCTCCTTCCTAATTTATCCCTGAGGATAAATGGGCAAGCACAAATTCAACTACCATGTTAATGAGACTGATTTAAAAAAACATGATGTACCTGTCTACTTCAAACCTGCCTTATCCTACCCAAACTGAAGTCTCAGTCTGTTTCTGTGTAAATATAGAAGTGATATCTCAAACCAAAATGGTTAAAACATTGGTCCTTGCTTTTCTTCCAGGAGCCCTCTCCATTACTCTTTCTCACGGTGGCTATAAACAACTGTACCATCTCATTTATCACCCAGACTCATAACCGGAGCATCACCTTCAACTGAGAATTCTCTTTACCACCTCAAATCCAGCTGACATCTGAAGACTGATATGTAGGCTTTCCAGTCCATCCACCTTGGCAGTTAGATGTCTCTTGCTGTTAATTTCTTTTCTCAAATCTTGACAAAAATAATCTTACCCAGTTCACAGAAAGCCCTTTTTCCTGGCTTTGTTTTTTTGGCCATATCGCTTATCTGACCGTATGACTCATATACGATATGTGACTCCCCCTTCCGTCGCTCAGGCAGCTTATTTTCCCTCTCTCCACTCTCTGTATCATCACTTACTTGGTATGAAAACAGCAGCTCCAGGCACAGTTTGAGTCACAGTGTCCGTTTCCACCTCAGCTCTCACTTTCCAGCCAGCACCTTTGTGCTTGCTCCCTTCAAAATTCTTCAGACGCTTCTGCAAAACTGGTTCTTCAAATCCCTCTTCAAAATCCTTTGCCAGGATGCCTACAAAAAAACACTGCCTGTCACAGTGACTGATAGTATCTTCTTTTTCTCTCCTACCTCGTAATGACCTAGTGCCTTGTATCCTGAATCTACTCTATGAGTTCTTAGAGGTTTCTTTCCACTGTGCTTTTGGAAGGGGCTTGTACAGTGAGGTCCTGGTCCATGACTAGGCCTCAGAGGTGCTATGGTAAAATAAACACTGCTGAAGGGAACAGGAAAGGCCAGGAGGAGCTGAAGTCATGGCTATATCCCTGGCACACTGTTCTAACAGTTAATATTGTTGGCAAAAACACAGATATGGAAACTATGTCCATGGCCAGATGTGCACACAGCGAGCTGCCAAGACAGAGTAGTGTATGCTGTAAGATAATACAGTTTTCCCCAATAACGAGCACAGTGATTCTAGTCCTTACTTTGGAAAATGTGAAGCATAGAATAAACTGGGATCTGCAGCTATGGGTTTGGGGTGATTTGCAGCATTGCAAACTGATGCTTAACCAGCTAAGTCATTCCCTCCAGCACCCTTTGTTGTAATCTCCCTCCAAAGATATTAAAAACACAGAAACCCTGGCCAAGTTGTAGTTGATCTAATTTATACAGCATTTTCTGGGTATTAAAAGCTAGGGCAATGTACTAGTAGTTTTAAAATTGTGTTAAATATACTGTAAACTCCCAGAAAGATCCTTTCATTGAAGATTATTGTATGAAGATTTGAAGATTAAAGTGTCTAGATTAAAGATTAATGTGAAGTGCACTGGGAAATGGTTTGATGCATAAGGAGTGATATAATATATTAATCGTGCACTTTTCAAAACTGCCTGAGGGAATTAGACACCCAGTACTCTTACATGTCTTTGAAAATCTCTCAGTAAAGAATTTGTTGTTATAAAGTGAAAATGGCAATATTTTCATTGAGAGCTTGAGTAAAAGAGGAAGGAAGAGGTGTGGAGACCTTTGGTACCCATCTAGAGCTCGACTTTAGCTCCTTACAGTTTTTTCCTGTTTTGAATTTGCTCTGTAGATTTCAGAGGTTTTTAGATTGTTTGTTATTGTATAGAGGCAACTTGGACTTGAGTACCACAGGTTAATAAAACTGGTCTGACCCAGGAACACTGCTCCACCTGCCTATGTACTTTTTGTTATCAAATCCATTTCTTTTTTGCTTTCACTTAAAGATAGTTTTTAAGTTCTCCTAAACAGAAGCAATTTAAATAATCTGAGAAATCAACCAAGTAAGCCTCAGTGAAACAAATATATACATATACATATCTATATGTGCAATATAATATGTGTTAATTAAAGATAATTAGAACTGATGGTGGAAAAATAATTATCCTTATATATATGCTTAGCAAAATAATCCTCTTGCAAGAGTTTTTCCTCAGTAATGCTTTTTTATGTAGAAATTTCATTACTGTTATGAAAGAAATGTTCCACATATGGTAGAAATTACAAGTTTGCTATCCCTGAAGTGCTGCAGTACAAATAAGCTGTTAAATGCCAGCTCTGAATGTTATTTTTTAGATGTTAAGAGAGATAATCCTGTACTAAAAATATTAGTAGGCAAATTCATTTGAACTTCAAAACATCTTTGATCTGGAATGAGAATGAACTGTGTATAAGTGTATACTTCATTAATCTAGGGTTGGCCACTTGTGTACGTTTTTGTTTGTTTGTTTTTCCATTCGCCATCTTTCAAATGCAGTTTATTAAAACTAATCACGCAATACACTCTTGTTTTTCCTGGTAGAATCTGTTGCATTGCCTCCATGAAAGGAAAGTTCTTCTATAGAAAGTACCCTGTGGGAATCAATATTCAGGTTCACAGTCACTCGAAAAGTCAGCGTGCTGGTGTGTTGCATTCAGATCTATTTTCATGGTCTTATCATTAAACCTGCAGTAAACCTGCTTTTAAAGCAAGGCTTCCATAAGTACTGGGAAAGTGTGATTAAAAGTAATCATCTGTCTGATGAATATTTTCCTCTGTCTTTTGGCAGGATCACCCATCTGAATTTGTGCCAGCCTCTACAGGAACACTGATGCCAGCAATTTAAGGATCTTCACGTTTGCTCTCAGTGGTAAGATCTAAAGATGTCGTAGTAAACAACATTCGAATATTACTGTTTTCTGTCATGTTGCCCTAAAAATGAATCCACGTGAAAAATGAACTCTCTCTCTTGACCGTTACAAGGATGCTGAGATAGAAAACATGCACTGATCTGCAAGAGACTGAGCTAAGGACACAAATTCTGAGCAATTTTCATTAGAGTAAACCCAGAAAGACCATTTTTATTGTCCTCTCTACTAATGTGACTGCTCTTGAAAGGTTTGACATTGTACATTTTGAACAACGCCATCGTTTATAGAAGGATGGTGGGCAGCCTCCAGAGAAAAGGTAAAACACACAAAAGGGAAATTTCAGTAGTTTCCTCTTACAGAAAACTGGGGAAGTAAGTTGCAAAATTACAAACAATTTTCCCATCTAATGCTGACCTTGTTGTAGCTAATCTGATTGTCCAAAGTTCAGAGTCAGATTTTCAGATACTGTCCCACCCCCCTTGTGCTGCTGTGGAAACCTTGCGAAGGGGTATAATCTGGTTGCATCTTGAAACTCAGAATTTCTTTTGCAGAGGGAAATTGTCAGCTATAGTAACAACAAAAAGGAGGCGGGAACAGTGGGGTCCCACCATAGTTCTGTGTCAGATTGGAATGCACTTTCTAGAAAACTGTAGTTGGGTAATGTGAAGTAATTCTTGCACTGCAACAGAAAATCATGTGCTGTATAAATGTTCTTTTTGGGGTAGGAAGGATCTAATTATTAGATTATAATATTGTCTGCGATGAGATTTTTGGTCAAGTTGATTCTCACTGTTATGCCACCTACTTGCAGTAAATATTTTCATTTATTTTAAAGGTTGCTCAGCCTATAAAATGCTGGCAGAACGGGGCTCCTTATTATAGCGCATAATCACAATATTCCAAGTACTTGCAATAGAGTTCCCACCATGTTCACAGGTTATCTAATTCTCAGCAGATGTACTTAATAACTTTTAATAGCCTTTGTCCCTGAAACAGATGACCACAGATAAAATAGCTACAAAATAATACCCTAATTTGTACAGCGTTTTTTTGGGAAAAAAAAAATTGATCAGCTCTCACATCCCTCTTAACCTAGCATTAAGAAATATTTACTGGATTATTCCATCTCAGTAGAACACTGCTTAGTGTGTTTGTCCTGGGACCAGTCAAGGAGATGCTGCTTTTCAACTCTTCCGTTTTGCGTTTTTGCATACCCTATCTGCTATGCACAGAGTGGTGTTTTCACACACATCAGTATGTATGTGGGCAATGCAGCTAGTGCTTAAACAATCATGGCAGCCAGGCTAGAGCTGCCACTGAGACTGAGTCCCTAAATCCTGGAGAAATGCAATCCAAAAAGCAGTGCTAGAGAAGAGGAGAGGGAAGAAAACAGCAGACGTGCACCCCCCAGTAGAGCTGCCCTGAACCCCATTCCCCCGCTCAACATGCTGCTTCTCACCCAAACCACTATATAAATTCTCCAGCAGGAAGGAAAATAAATATATGTACTGCATGCGTGTGTATCATGCATGCCACCTTCCTTATTCTTCAAAAGCAAAGCTTGAAGAGGGCTATGGAGGATCATGGGTTACGAAATTGGATACTTGCAACACGGAGTCCTCATGGGCCTGATTGCTCTTGCAGACAGGAACATCCTGGTGGCAGCCCTGGCCTCCTTGGTAACTGAGTAGCTTTACTCGCTTTTCCTTTCCGGGTCCTGATGTCCCTGAAATGCATGGGAAATAACCCACCCAGGGCACAGCTCCGCCTTTGCTCTTTCAGCCTGTGAAGGATTAGTCTAGGCCTAGACACAAAATGACTCGTAAGTGGTAACGGTGCCTAAAGCTTTCATCTTTCACATCAGTACTAATAGACCTTGGACAAGGAAGTGTCTGCTGGGACCTGGGGAAGTGTAGGGGCTGACCTGGGAGGCGCCACCACGTGTGATGTTCTTCCCGTAGCACCAGCTGTTGCCCAGCAGTAGAGGCAGGAGACCAGCCTGGACAGCCCTTTGGCCTCACCCTGTCTGGTCGTGCTTATGTTAGTTTTAGACCACTGTGATACAGTGTTCAAGTACACCATTTCGAAGTCCAGCCTGTTCCAGGCTACCAAAACATATATATTTTTTAAATTAGGTTACACCCCTAAATCTGGAACTCTTCTGACATGGAAACAAAACCTGTATTGAGCATTCCCCTAACAGTTTATTGTCGTTAACCTACCTACCTACTTGGTAGTTCAATAAAACCTCTGCTTCAGTTCAAAGATAAACTTAACAACAGTAGTTTTCCCATCCCATCATACTTTTTTCATTTAAAAAAAAAAAAGCGTGATACTGTGTTGTCATGAATCCTGAAGACAAATTACGTGTTGTTATTGCTGGCTAACTTAAGTAAATTTGGAATATGTACAGTATGCTCTGAGGTAGATACTATACTTTATTAGGGACTATTATTGCTCTTTGTTAGAAATACAAGAATACATCCTACTTATTATGTTACGTGATCATATAGTCAAGGTGAAAAACAACAATTTGCCAAGGCAGTTTTGTAGTTTTTTTAGGGAAACAACAGTTTTCTAACTTTTTCAATTTTTTGGTCACCACTAAATTCTGTATGCACTATAACCTGGAGAGTGGAAAATCAATACTGTTGTTTGTAATAGACAGAGTTCGTGAAAACTGGAAGTCGCTGGTACTGAACTAGTAGACCTTTTTCCCCTGGAAGCAGAAGACACTAATGATGTAGTAAAGGAAAGCAAAAGACCCTTATTTGCTGCTTCTTAACTGAGGCAAATGAAAATCCATTTCAAGTCATCAGAGGCCCAGTCCTGTGATAAAGCTCCCATTAACTTCAGCAGGAGCAACCTGAGTATCACTTAAGGACAGGAAACAAACATTTAAGCACTAACAAATATAACTGCTTTTAGATGAAGTTCGCTAGGCTCCAGGAGCAACAGTTGACTAACCGTGCATACGTACGGAGACACACACACACCCAGTTCCATATTCCTGTTATCGATAAATGTGTAACAGATGCTTCATAAGGATTAATGACCGACAGGGTGTATGGCTGACCAGTTCAGTTGTTCAATTGTTATTGCATCCAAAAATAGTTCAGTGTCCTGTACAATTAAAGTAAAAATATGTGTGTGTGTGTGTGTGTGCATGGGTTTTAAAATGGGGAAAAAAGAGAATTCCTTTTGATTGCATTTCTATGTTTGACCATCCCTTCACACTTCATTTCAGCCTTCATATGGCTTTTGTGTTCATACTTTTATTATATTTTCTTGAGGCAAGAAAGGTTTCCAGTGAGAACTTGATGAATGTCCATATTAAATTGGATCCCCCTTTTTTAATTAAGTTCATCTAAATTTAATTTTGCAATTTTACTTCAGTAAACTCGTCTGACTCCAGATGTTGAATGTGTTTTTTCTATTGCTGTTCTCATTTAATTGTACCTGTAAAAGATTTATGACTTAGAGAGGCATTTCTGAACACTTCAGAGTGTTTTCAGCTTATGCTTCATGCATGGCTAGTAACATGAGCAATTAGCATCTTAAAATACTGTTCTTCATCCAGGATTTCTTTTAATAGGATGTTACTTTTATAAGCTTGAACTTTAAACAAATAATCAGTTTAGGAGAAACATTGTTATCAAAGGATATCAGATGATACTGAGATATTGCCCCCTAAAGAAACTTTGAAAATGAAAGAGAAGAATTTAGAAGCTAAAAGATGTGATAAGAAAAAATATAATAAAGAGTTACTCCCTTTGATTAAAGAAAACTCCAAACAATTTGTGGTTTTGAGGTCTCTTCTGCTCACTAAAACTGTGCAGGTGAGTTGTTTGGTGGGGTTATTGCCTTAGTTGAACTTTGTAAACAGGGGGAAAACATGCTCAAGTGCTTACTGGTTCTTATTTCAAAATGCTTTCACCTCTTTTGCTGAAGTGGGCAAGGACTTTGCAAATGAACTAACATTGCTTCCTTCTCATATTCTGTCGTGACTTCTCGATCATCATAAATGGATCTTACTATAAAAATTATGTGGGTTTCTATAATTATTCTGGTTCTGGCTTTTTGCTCCTTGAATCTGGACATGTTCAGTAACATTATATACAACACGTATAGGACATGTTTAATGAAGCCCCTTGTCCTCACCAAGAAAACTTACACCAAAACTGAACTTTTGGGTAATACTAAAAAGAGAAGAATCCAATTGCAAAGTGAAAAGATGGCCACCTTCTTTTTTTCCTCAATAGCAAATCAATTTCCATGAGATTTTTTGCTGTTGTAAGTACTCTCAGTGTATTCGTTTGAAATATTTATCTGTTCAGTAAACAAATCTGGTTTGGGATAGTTGTGTACATTCCAGGCTCATAGGATGCGAAGTGCTCTGGACCAGCCTGGTAGCGTGTCGCTCCAGGTTAGTTGGGTGTTTCTCCAGTGCACGTAGCACTACCAGTGCCAAACCTCAGTAACACTGGAGGGATCAGCTTCTCTGTTTTCTTCTTTTATATTCCTACAAGCCTCCATAGTACAACTTGGCATTTATTAATGACTTCTAGGAGATGCCGTTATCAACGTGATGCGTGTGTAAGGAAGCGGGCAGAGGAAATGCTGCGGTGGGTCTTGTGTGCATGGGAGCTCTGGGAGCACCCAGCACCGCAACGGGCTGCAGAGCAGGTCCCCAGGACCCCAGGCGCTGGTGGGCATCAGCCTGACACCTTCCTCAGCCAGAGCAGCGGTGTGAGCCCTGGCAATTTGACTCTCCTTTCTTGCTTAGATCACATCTTTTTAGTGACATGTGCAGAGTTAGACTGGGCTGCTTTCTCACAGTGCATTTTGCCATCTTTATTCTAGTTCATTTCTGAACTAGACCTTTTTCATTCATCAGTAGAAGGAATGTTTTTGCGTTGTTTTCCCCCACCTGACTTCTCAGCGATGCTGGATTAAATGAGCAAGTATACGCTTGTAAAAGTTGCAGCAAAGAAACTCA